ACACCACTGATACAGCACTCCATGGGTAAGTTTGACAAAAGATTTTACTGAGTTTGACCAATCTGTGTGCTTTTATTTTCTGTGTTAAAGGACAGCTGCATTGCTGCTAGGTTTGTTGAAGCAGTAACGATAGTGCCACACAGAGCAAGTGCTGCTCTCTACAGATATGCAAGTCATTAACATTACTCCTTCTGCTTTCTGTGCTGTTGTAGTTCACATTATCTTTTTGTTGGTTTTAATAGAGAAAATTCATGGGTCCAGAGAGCAAAGCTACACAACATACAAAGCTCCTATGCAATAAAATAATGGCTGGGCGATCATTTCATACCACTGACTCAGCAGATTTGTATTGTGACGATATGATTTTCAAATAGCTCTACGAATATCTGTTCCAATAAATGATTACCTCAATGATCAATCTGTAATTAAAAACTATGATTAATTATTGAAGTTGAAGATATGAAGTTTTGTTATATACAGTAGAAGACTGCTTAACCCTGGCTGCCTGTTGCTATACAGTACCTTTTTAGCTCTCCAGTCTAGCATGGCGGTATGCGGTCTACATTGACTACAGTGTTGAATATATCGCTCACTTTCCATTATACATTTCTGAAACAGTGGTTTCTTCATTTCAGCTACAAGTAGATAAGATAAAGGTTTTCTCAGTTTTAGTCTGTGACAGTATTTTGCTGATTCAAATAACAACCGTAACAAAGTTCTGTCCGCTGTAGCTAGCTTGGTGGCAGGAAACCCTGACTGAGACTTTTTAATGTTTCCAGCAAACACTGAAAATGAAAACCCTATTAAAGAATGAGGTTCTAGATTAGGGTGACCATATTATCAAACTCCCAAACCGGGACCCTTAAGAGCCATGAATGCAGCATTTTGGTTGCCTACTGTACGAAGGAGTAAGCCCCCTGGAGCTCTTCAGAAAATACCAACTTTTTTTTTGGCATGACAGCTAACCGTTGCATACTGACAGGTTCTGTCTGCCTAGGGACTCATAGGCTAGCAACAGCCTTGAAATGACTGATTGACTGACACACAGAGACAAATAAGTGTTGAATTCAGACGCATGGTGTATTTGTGTTTTTATATTGGGTTAGGTAATAATGTGTGGGAGAGAACATGATAAACGTATATGGAAGCACTGAAAACAAGTAAAATATCATCATTACTATTTTAATTGTGGTGAACACCGGGACAATTTGGTAGTGAATGTTGAAAAGCTTGAAACCTGGACAATCCTGTATCCCAGGTAAAAAGTCAGCATCCTCACCTGCTGATTCACACTGATGTAAAGGAGCAGTATATTCTTATTTTGCAGGATAGAGCTACTTAGTATTACCTTAGTATTTTACTTCACAATATAGACCTTTTTCACAGCAGCCATTTTGACATGAAATTGTAGGGTAAACTTAACAATGACAATAACTGGTTCTGTTCCATTTAGTAGCAGTGTCTTTTCAGAGAGCCAACATGCACAATAGCTGCACCCTGACTCTGACCTGAATGGAGCAGAACCAGAGTTAGTATCACTGATGTAACAACTGTGTTTACCCTGCTATTTCATGTCAAAAATGACTGCTGTAAAAAACTGAGAAATCCAAAGGTCTACAGGCCTGCCATGCCTAGTTAAGATGGTTAAGATATTATTGGACAATCATTAGTGAAGCGGTTTAGCTTTGCACCTTGGAGGGTTTTTATATTTTGCACACACATCACATTTGCCATACTGTGGTGTACTGTATATAAAATATAAGCGTTTTAATGTTAATGTAAGCATTCTAGGCTGTGATTTAGGAATCTATGAATTTAGTCAACACCTGTGTGTCATTTTGAAGCCATGCTAAGCTATGCTGGTGGTAGTATTACTGTGCAGTTACAGTAGCATGTTCATCTGTTTTTCACTCTTTCATGGCTTTTTTATTGAGTTGTTAGTGGTAAGAAACTTCTGGTTTATCTGGAGCCATGTAAAGCCAGTTAGACTGCAGTAATATGTGTTTCAGTGGGGATAATTCTGTTGTTGTCGCCTTAATAAATAGATGCCAAATGTTTTGTGGCATTTAGGCCCTTTTTTTCTACAGTTTGATTTAACTCATTAAACTGTGGTAATTGGATTGGAGTTCATTTTTTATACAACAAAATATGTAAGCTCACAGGTCCACGTACTGGCTGTCTGAACTTCTAGCCACATTTCACCTTCTTTATTCAACAAATAGAGCTCACCTAAGTGTGAAACCTCAGTCGCATGATGACAAATAGCTGTATCAGGGTAGGGATCGTAACCCTTGTCTTGGTTCAAAGATCTTAGATGTGGATTTTTCTCCAGTTGACTCCTTCCAGTCTATATTGTTTTGTACAACATAGTAAGCGACACGTTTAATGTCCTGTTTCATAGTTTTTAAAGGTAATTTAGCGGCCAAGCTGGCCGGGCTGTTAGTCTGTAGGTTCTTTTCAAAAGCAGAGCTGATATCCTTCCACTTACGGTTTGTACTGAATAAATGTTATTTAAAAAAATTTAAGTTTATTATTACTATAATTAAGTTTGTTTTTGTCATTCCAACTCTAAAAAATATAGTTTCTTTAAGATGAGAGTATAGAAACAGACAAAATGTCAGATAAAACAACAACAACAAGTGTATGGAAGCATGAAGTATGTTGTATGTCAGGGTTTGGTTGATGTTCTTTGACATTGAGCCTCTCCTGTGCACAACTGCAAACATGAAAAAGCGAACAGCAAAGATGGGTTTTTTTTATGTCAGTGAACCTGTAACCATTGTAAATATTAGTTGATTGTTCTGTCAGGTAGCGCCTATAACTCCCTTTTGATCACCTATATTATGCCAAATGGTAATCTGTATCTGTATCTGTATCAGGAATTTATGACTTTATGATGGCCTAATCTGAAAAAGTGTCAGATGTTGACATTGTGGATGGCTGTGGCTCAGAGGTAAAGCGGGTCGTGCACTAATCGGAAGGTTGTTGGTTCAATCCTCAGCTCCTCCTAGCTGCACATTGAAGTAATGAATGAATAAGTTTCTGTTTGATTTGCATCATCACACATCACTGTGAATGTGTGGGAATGAATGTGGCATGTAGTGTAAAAGCACTTTGACTAGAAAGGTGCTATACATATACATACATATACAATATATAAGTACAGTCCATTTACCATATTCTTCTCGATTCGTTGTTTCCATTCAGGCAGAGTCCGTGGATTCTTGCAAAATCCCAAAAAATGGCAAATGCCATTAGGAGAACTAGGAGAAGGAACCGGTTTATTTTATCTGCCTTGTGTGCTACTGTCAGGATATAGTGAAAGTTTCAGCAAATATGACAATAAAAATCATAAAAGTTACCTACTGCAGCTTTAAAAGGAAGAAAAGAAACCAAAATAGGCAAAAACAAATAGCAACTAAGTCTGGTTCAGTCAGCAAGACTTTTTGTCACCTTTAACGTTCTGTGGTTCCCCTGAGTTATTGTGTTTACAATAACGCTTAACTGTTAACACTGACTTATGTTTCCTCCTCTATCAAAACTAAAATCTAAAAATAGATAAAATAATAATATGAAATGTAAACTTGACCAACTTGATGAGTTGAACGGTTATTAGTGGACTGTTGGTGGTGGTTTGAGATGCTCAGTGAGTGTTTGAATGGATGTAACTGGACTGAACTGACTCCAGCAGGAATTAAAACCCTAAAAACCTTTTCTGCAACACCGCTTACAGCACACACTGATTTCACATATAGGCTACACTCAATAGCTCTAGCATCATCACTGTATCCATTATATACATACCCAGTATGGGGCACAAGATGTTTGGAGAGTGTGTCAAGCTTGCTTGGTTTGCTTTGACTCAGTCTGATTGTGTTTCTTTGCTGAGAAACAAAAGGCTGGTGGTTTCAGCCTGGGCCGGTGACTCACTGTAACAGAAACCAGCAGTCCTCACTAATATGAATATCATATGTCACACCACACACTTCACTGTGTCTGTGCTGTGTGTTACAGCATTGCTACAGCCGTGCAAACTCCTCACCTCACATGGTGTATAGAATCAGTGGTCTCAACGATATCTACAATCTTCACCAAACAAAAAAAATGTTTGTCCTCATTTCTTTTAACAGAAGCAATGTGCAGCTACGTAGCATTTTGTGTGGTTAACCAGCATTCTTGCCAGTCATTGCAGAAACACACTCATAAGTTATGTTCTGAAACAAATAAAACCTAAGGTCCTTTTCCGTCATTGATAATTTTTTCCATTTGATGGACCTGCAGAAACATTTTTGTCTTTTTAGGGGTCCAAGCAGTGAAGCTACTGGAATTTTATTGTATCTGTATGTTATTCTTCGGCCCTAAAGGTAACCGGGATTTCTGAAACTGTAACAGCAACAGTTCCCAAATTCTGCAAATTGGCTGGAATTCTCACCCACTACCAAATAAAATTATGCCAATCAGCCAAGTGGTTGTTTGGCCTATAACTTTTGAACCACAAGTCTCCCAATTTGTATTTTATGTGAATATAACTGACTGCCCCCTCCAGCTCCAGCACCACTCTTAATGAAATCTAACTGGAGTTGAACAGAGCTATCAAGACAGGATTCAGCAAGTGCTGGACACCAGCCTCCTCTTTAGCATTTGCCGATCAAACTTCGAGTATGAGATCCTAATAAGGTACACAAGGAATAACATAACATAGACCTTTGTCCTCTTTCTTCTTTAAAAGATCTGTAGTACCCACCTGATCTACACTATCCCATTTGACGAAATGAAAAATATTTTTTTATACCTTTAAGTTTATAGTACTCTTTATAATATAAAGAGTACTATAAATAG